TGAGGGGGGGCTTCTGGTCCTGGGAACCACTCAAGGGAGTTGTGATGGGCTTGGGGGGAGGCAAGTGGGGGGAGGTGGCAGCAGGGTGTGTGAGAGTGTGTGATGGGCCAGGGGATGTGTATAAGGGAGAAAGATGGGGAGGAGGGGACACTCTAGGTAGAAGTAGTCTCCAGAACCAGGCCTGGAGCCCCCCGACCCACTAAAGCAGCCTGTGCAGGGGCAGCCTAGCCTGGAAGGGAAGGGGGCTTGCCCAGGCAGAGGCAGGCCCAGCCCAGCCCAGTCCCTGAGCCTGTCTGGGGTTTCCCAGGAGGGGCATGGGGATTGCTGAGGCCTGGGCACAGGTGTGGGGAGCAGAACAGCAGAGGCAGACACTGCTTAGAGCCACAGAGTAGCAGGCAGGGCAGCCACAGCTGGATCCGTGGCCTGGTGCAGAGAGGGAGCTTACACTTCTAGGGGGAAAAAATGAAGAGAGGCTGACTTCCTAATGAGCCTGTTTCTGCACCACGTAATCATGGAGTGTTAACATGCATAACCTCAAATTAAGAAGTGAGAAGTAGGACTTCAATACTGTCCATATTAATACAAAACATATGGAGGGACGGACCACAAGAGGGAAATCAGCATGTCACTAAGTGTATGAATATATGCATTTCTATAATTGTGTATGAATACATATAAATAGAGCTCTTGTTATAATGCAAGAGAAAATTTTAAAATGAATATTCATTTAAAATTAAAAAGAAAATATTACAGCATATCAGTCAATTTTTAGGATTTGATGATTAATCCTGATTAGGATATTGTACCATAAGTGCTAACTAAGGTTGCACCTGTTGCCTTTTCCACTTAAACTGCTACCTACATTTTGGTTTAAAAAAAGATATGTTCAAAACATGCAACGGGAAGACTGATTTTAAAAGCATGTACCTTCGTATTATATGTATTAACAGGGTTACGTGTACACATAACTAGCCTTAATTATGATTTCATCATCAAAATCCCAGTTAAGAAGTCTGGAGAGTTTTCAAATCCAAAATTAACTTAGAAGCTCGTAGGCTCCTGTGGCAGTCTATTTTAAGTTGTGCACACCCAGTATTACCATTTTCATTTCTAAAAAAGGGAATGCTCCCAAATTTAGATTTGTAGAATTTCACTTCATCAGATGAATTAAAGTGTTCAGCTTCTTCCTTGCTGTGGGTGCAGTGACCTGCAGGGTGCTGACCTGCGACCAACAACAAATCCTGTTTGACAAGCTCTACAAAAGGGGAAGAAACATTGTATGTGTACACAGCTACTATGGCAACCTCCCACGATACAAAATAATTCATTTATCACTGCCCTGTCCTACTAGTTGCTGCAAGACCATGTTTTGTGGCATGTGGCAGTCATCTCCCATTTAATGAGTCTAAGCAGTAGTAGTTGAGCATAAAAATCTGGCTGCTTTGGTGCTGAATTCTGGGTACCCATGTCTGAAAGTTTCCTGGGGAGTGGACTGTTCATTTTAAGAAAAGTGTTACATGACATTGTTACCTGCAATAGCCGGGGAATAGACTTCCCAAAGGAAGGTAAAACGTAACCCCTATCTTCAATATAGTTAAGGAATCAAAGCTGCAGAAACAATTTACCATCAGCAGCTTTTATCAAATCACAGCTACAGGGTAAGAAACCTGAAAGAAAATATGTTCTATTCCTTCTCCCAAACTACCAACTGAGAAGTCCCTAATTATGAAAGATTCCAAATATATGAAGATTAATACCCAGATTTTAAAAGCTGACCAATAATTCTGCATACTATACTGGAGAGTCTTTAAAGAGCTCCGATTTTTCAGTACACGTTAAGTACTCACATACAGTGAGGGGGAGAGTAATTAGGCTACTTTCAGCCATCTCAAGTTAGATGCCCTAAAGTTCACATATCCAAAATCATTAACCACTTCTGAAAACTTCGGCCTAAAAGGCACAGTTTTGTTATACGATAATATAAATGGGAAGTTTTCCACCAAACAACTTCAAACTAATTAAGCCAAAGAAGAAAACTTGCAATTTAAGCACCTACCATGTCAATTCAAATGCACAGTTTTACCTATCCACAGCAATCCCAAGCTCACAATCATAGTAGATGAAACCAGTCACTGGTAAACAGTCAAATACTGTGTTTTGCAGGATATCAGAGTAGAAAATCATAATGCTGTCTTCTGATGTTAAAACTCAACGAAATCTAGGTGAACCAGTAAAGGAGGGCTGGTAAGGGAAAAGTTGAAGAAGTATTGATAGAAACAAGGAAGCATGCAGAAAATACAAAGGGAAGAGTTAAAAGAAAGGCTAAAATTGGGACCCTGCTTTTTGTCTATTTTTTTTTAAACCAGAAGTAAGGAGAGGCAGTGGACTCTCAAAGTAACAGGTGGGCATGCAGGAGACAGAAAAATGAAGCTGGTGGGTGCAGTAGTTAGAGGAAGGGAGAAAAAAAAAGAAGGGATGAGATAGTCAAACAGAGAAGTGATGCAGTATTTGAAAAGGTAAAATATACTGAAAGAGACTATCAACTAGGTGCATTAGTTACCACTCAGTTCTGGAGCATGATAAATTATTGCAATTTTATACCCCCTTGCAGCCATAAATTATTTTTACTTCTCCGCATTTATTAGTTTTATTTTTTTCGTGTCACTATTTTAATTTCAAGCTCAAAGAAATATTTAGATTTCACTGCGATTCATCAACATTTTAAGCTGTACTCAAAAAATATAATACACAAATCTGAATCTGGACCTAGTTGAATTCAAGGAAGTGCAAATTTATGAAAAACTGCCAGTGTTTTCCTTTAAAAGCAGCATATTGGCCTAGATTAAAAGGTATTTAGCCAGCTCAGTGCCCTGAAGTGCATGGCTATGTGCAAATTTATGCAACTGCACCTTGAATATTTTACATAATTTCATATTTAATTTCATTCCTAGCATTTCTTTTCCTTGAAATATATTTTCTTTTTGAGATACTGATCCTATCTTAGACCCTTCAGGGAAAAGTATAAGCTCTTTCAGACAATGAAAGAACAGAAGGAACATGATGTATTTTTTACTTTATGTTAAGACTCGCACCAAGGAAAGATCTTCTAAAGGTATAAGAAGAGAGCAATAATGCATTTCATTTTTTTCCTGACAAGATACATCTACAAAATGGAAAATGCAAAAACAAAAAAAATATATATTTCCACCCCCCCCCCGCAATGACCAAAATTATAGGTTAATTTGAAAAAAAATTTGCTGTTAGACTGTAATTGAAAGCAGGCTTGGTGTATAATAAATAAGGATAGCTGATTTCTCCCCCACAATGTCTGCAAGCAGCCCTGATTTCTTTTAAGTGATGTTAAATTCTACAGAAATTAATGGATGACCAGAATTCTCTAAGGAAAGTTTCTTCTACCCTAACAGTAAACCAATGAAGGATTTTTCCAGCCATAATTTCAAAGAGGAAAAGTCACTGTCCACTTTTTTTAGGGGGGTAGAAAGTGAAGTAGGGGGAAGAACCAGAAGGCAGTTCAGATGATGCAGTTTTCTTTTTACCTTCCTACCAGTGCGTCTCAGAGGCAATGCTTCTGAGAGATAACAGGTATCATTTTTAGAGGAAAAACAAATCTCCATTTTATTTCTTCCTCAGTTGACCTAAACTCTCATCCATTCTTGTTTACTCATCCCATTACTTTGTTCTACTCTCATCCACCATGGATGTGCTATCAATAAATAGAAAAACAGCACTTTTAGCATCTAATGTTACCAGAATTACCCATGAACTCTACTGAAAGAGCTTTCCAAGCCACCATGAAAAAACTGCATGCTGGTGAAGAGCCCTTTTAAATAAAGCCCATTTTCATACTTTCTGACATCAAAGAGATACGAAATTAGCCACACAGTACTTGTGATAGATCTGGTTTTAGAGCACGCTAATGACTGTTCTGCCACGGAGAAAGTTTCTCCCACCTTTGCTTGTGGAAGCAAAGGAAAGACGTGCAGAACTTCCAGAACCAGTTCTGGCCCGAGGCTCTTTTCATCAGCTTGGCTCACATGCCATGTATGCAGCTTCTAGTCCGTAAACGGTTGCACGACCCTTGCACAGCACCAAACAACGTTACATCCACCAGCATACGTAGGTATAGGAATAGAGCAGGACATGTAAAAAAGTGCAAAGTGAGCTTAGGTTAGCTCATACAAACAAGACAGGCCAAGCCAAGCACAAGCACCCAGCGAACAAGGAGGAGAAACTGAGAAAGCTAACAAGTCCCATCATGTTACAGAGAAAACCCCAAAAGACAATTTTGTATTGGCATCAATCGTGATAGCCTTAAGGAAGTAGGAAGGCATCTTCTGTGATGTGGCTGGTCGTCATAACATGTTTGGTTTTTCTCATGATAGGTGAACTTGGCCAAATTTGGACCCCCGCAGGAGCACCGCTTTCTGCATGAAGACAAGAGCCACGCTGTGTTCAAGGCATTACAATAAATATTTTGACCTGCTGAAGTACCACGGCTGGGATTAGACACCTGCTCTGCGCCACAAGATCTGCATCTTGTATGAAGGCGGCGAGGTAGAAGAAACCCCCTTGTGCAAGGTGTCTCAGGTGTCAGACTCCCCCTCCCCCCAATAAAACAAAACAGACAAGAAAAATAAAGACCCACCAAAAGAACAGCTAGCACATCTGAACACGCCTGCCTTTTTAGGGAATGAACATCAGTACTTCTACTAAAAATGATGTTTAGCGGTTCTAGGATGCTGTGTATCACTGAAATCATACCCACGATGAAATCTGAACGTCCTTTAAAGACCGAGTTGCACGCAAACAGTTGAAAACTATGGAAAATTAACTTGCAATGCGTCCACCACAAAGCATCAGCGCGACAGACCACTACTGAATAAAAAAAAAGTAAAAATAAAAATCATATTATTAAATATTTAGAGAGGAAGCTCAGAGAAGAGAATAATCCAGTGCGCAACCACACGAAGCAACCGGACCTTGAAGAGTTTCTCAGCGCTGGCAAACCAACAGGATGATGGTTTCTAATTAACGATGGGAGAAGGGGAATGGCGAGAGAGGGATGGGGATCTGCGTGACGGCGTGCGTGCGCCTGCGCACTTCAGAGGATGCAAAAAGATCATTTTAGAGCACCAAGAGTTCTTGATTTTTGCATTTCTTTGGGGCTCAAACCAACACGGCTACCACATACATCCCCGAATCGGAGTGCGAGCCTCAAATGAAAGCAGTATCATCTCTCTCGCATCAGGCCTTGGAGATCGCGGGAGACCTGAACAAATGTGGAAAGTGAGTTCTTTGAGCAGGAGGTGGCAGGGCATGCTTGAAACATTTGGGGGGTAAGGAAAGAAAGAAAGAAAACCTTATTTTGGAGAAGGAAATCCCTAATTCAGCTCCTCTCGAGGAAAATCCAGTAATCCTCTACCGGAAAAAGACCGGCAGCGTGGCATGGCACGGCATGCCCAGGAGAGGCAAGGACGACTCGGGGGGCCATCTTCCATGGGGACAAGTCGTGGTGGGGATAAAAGTTAGAGGGGCTTTCCCACGCGAGACATGTTTTGCGAAAGTCTCGTCTTTGACAGCTGGTGTAGCCGCCGGCCCGCGGGGCCCTTTCCCACACGTCTGCTGTGCCTTCGAGGGAGCCGGGGAAACCAGCCCCTGCCTCTCACAGCCCGGCCGCAGCGGAGCCCGCAGCGGCGGCCCCGGGCGGGGGGAGGCCGGGTTGCCCGCCCCGGACGGCTCCGCACCCGCCGGCGGGACGACACGGCGCGGGAG